TACATAAATATCTTTAAAAAAATAAATTAGATATTTAGATGTTTTGCTTTGTTATCTTGATTTTTTAATTTAGCCTTTCTCCTAGATTTGATTATTTCCTCTGGAATGAGATCTAGGATGTCAAAGATACATAACTGAGAGCTAGAATTCTTTGGTGATACCCAACTTTTGCTGTATATGACTGATTTCTTGTTTCTGTGGAGAAAGCAAATTGGGAATTCTTCCCCATATTCTTTGAGGGGAGCCTTATTTTTATTTTACAAATTATGTTAAATCTGTTGTAGGGGTTACAGTATGGTGGTTTGGTTTGGGTTGGTTTGGGTTTTTTTGTGGATGTCTTCCATTTCAAAATGGCAGGAAACCATTCCACATTCATTCATTCATTCATTCATTTGCAAGTATGGTAGAAATTAGCTCCAGGGCCACAGAAATGGAATTCAGGAACCACATGCACCCCTGAGGCTTCAAATGGCCTGCATCTGAACTACAACATCTTTCAATATTTTAATAAAGATGACTTGGATTATTTATCCCTCAACATTGCTAAAATGGCTTTTTAAAAGACAAAATTCTTTTATTTTTACAATTCCTGTCCTGTATTTTCACTTTAAAAGGCTCCCACTGATGTTAACCACTAGGAATACTGAATTAGGTGCAACTGACCATGTAAGTATGATCTCCTAAAATCCACTGAGTTGCTTATCTCTTTCTTTGCCTCCACTAGGTCTCAAACAGAGGCCAGTCCTTGAGCACACTGGGCTCTGCCTTCCTCTATCTCATGTGGCCATATGAAATTTCAAATGGAAAGTGGCTTCTTTACCCCCTTAAGCTGGAACTGTTGACCCAGTTCCAGCATCGCTCAACCTGCACTCCTGAACCCAACCCCCTGGGCTTGACTCTGGTAAGTACCATGGGTACCGGATAGCAATGGGGTACATTGGCTGTAGTAATAAGAGTGGTGAACATCCTTCTCCTACTTTTGAGGGCAGACAGAGTTAGGGAGTGCCAAGTTTCAGATACTCTCCACTTTTTGTAAGGAGAAGGCACCCTTAAAGGAATTTATGATTTCCCCGATCAAAATCTTGGCTATTTCTTTTTGCAGATATGTTTGCCTTCTCTACCACTGATGCCTCACATTCAGGACATGCATCTGCAAAAGGGAAATGTAATTTTTGTAGGAATATTCACAGTTCTAGAATTATTGTTGTACCTCATATGTGCAGTTGGATAAATTCATTATCCAGAAACTTAAATATATCTCAGATGGACAGTACTTTCAAAAGGATAATCCATTTCATATTATCCCTCATTCAGAATTCCATCCAATGCATGTTTTCCTTATGGAAAAGCAAGATCTGGCTTTATGCACACCAGTGCCGAAGGATTGCTTTGACTTAGTTTAGACCACCATTGTTTAAAAAGGAAGACAGTGCTGAATGTAAGATGACCCTTGGGAAAGAGTATACATAAACAAACTTGTTTGCTTTTAATGTAATTCTTAGTGAATCTAACATAACCCTCCCATTTTAAAGGTAAACTATTTGGGGAAAACTAGTCTTTATCTCCAGGTAAATGCTATATTTCTCATTCCAAACATAAATAATTTCCTCACTTGAGATTTTTAGAACTTTCTAGCATCATTGAGCCATTACGGAGGTAATATATAGCCTGTCCTTGTTACTGTAATATTAGCACAACAATGGTTGGATGATGCTAGAAGAAGCTATAAATCAGTAATGGGGAAATAGCCGTAAAATCCATTAAATCATTAATACACATTTATTGATTTGCTTATTTGTTTCTTTCAAGAACCTTGATACCACTTTTCAGCCCCAAAACCTCTCAAAACAGCTTATATACCATCAATAAAAATGACAGGCTGACAAACCAAAAAAGACATGACCAAAAGAAAAATGGGAGGGGGAAAAGAAGAGGGAAAAAAGAAAAGCCAATTCAGGAATGAATTCTACATTTGTATCAAAGTCTTTTTGGAAACTGTTCATCTGCACATTCTGTTTTCTTTCTGAGAACAGAAAATAGCAAATGTTTGCAGTGCTCCTGATCCAACGTTGTTTTTTTACAGGAACTGCCTCCTCAAGGAAGGAAGAAACGTGAGACTGAGCAGGCAGAGATGTCCAGCCCATCACTGACTTATTGGAAAGGGCGAAAAAATGCTACCTTGGTAAGTGAAGCTCCCTGAGGCCATGGGTATCCAACACTGCCTCCCTGAAATTGCCCTGAAGGCATGTAACCTGGTGCTTAGCATGACGTTTGGTGACTCCCGTGGCCCTCACTGGGAAGCAGTTGCAAAGGTAGAGGAAATCTGCTAAGGATGACCAAACTGTGACTTTCTGAGAAAAGAAGAAGAGCCTCCAGAAGCCGCACTTACAATACAAATCTTGTATTTGGAAATATACCTAGGAGGAACTGCTCCACGACTGTGATTTGAAGGGAAAATGGCCAGCATTGAAAGCCTTGGATATTCCCTTCTTTCTCTGCTCAAAATGTGCAGCCTCATGTCCTGGAATTCGTTAAACAACTACAACACCAGGACTGTTATACCAGAGCTATGGAAAAGATAGACTGAATCTAAGATTTATTTTATTCATTTATTTTTATTCATACAATTTATAGGCCGCCTGACTCCCAACGATTCTGGGAGGTTTACACTTAAGAATAAAAAAATTATAAAACACAAGAAGGAATCAAGAATAGTGCCCAAAACTACATGTAACCAAAAAAGAAACCCATCCAGTAGGGTCCACCTTTCAATAGCCAGGTCTTTTACAGTTTCCTGAACATCTTCAGGTTGAGAGCCACATGGATCTCTGAGGGGTATCATTCCAGAAGGGAAACACGGCAACAGAGAAGGCACGGTTCCGTGACATTGCCTAATTGGTGGAAACCAGAGTGCTCCCACTCTGACCGATTGCACTGGATGGGCAGAAACAACTGGAGACGGGTGGTCCCTCAAATAACCAGACCCTATACCACAAAGGGCTTTATAGGTGATAACCAGCACCTTGAACTGAATCACGATCAGGGGATAAATGAACACCATACTAGAGTGCTATGTCATCTGTAGCTATTGCAAAAATCAACCTCCTTACTTCCTTATTACTCTACCCACCATTGCAACTCAAGTTTCCTGGTCAAAGGCTTGGAGTAGATATTGCCTGTTACATGTTTGTAAAGCCATATTAATATATATTTCTCTAGTCCTTGAGTTGGCAGGAAAGTATTCTGACAAAAATTGTGCTGTCTCAATGGCCAAGGTGCAATCTCCTTGAGTAATGAAGCCTGGAACTGATCTTGCCCTTAAGTTTAATGTGGGACAAGTTTAAGGGCAGCAGTTGGTGGATTTCCTGACTTCATTTCCTCTCCCATCCAGCATCATCTGCCAGGAGTAAACACCAATTACTCTCCTTAATTTGTGGTGTGAGTGGGATTGGGAAACTATGGGTAGATGACTGGGACAGAGAGTTTTGGTAACTTTGAAGTTGCTTGAGTGACAGCTTGGCAACAATGGAAGTGCTCCATGCCAGTAACCTGTAACTTCTGAATATGGATCTTGTGTTCTTCTGCAAGAGGAGTAAAACCATGTGTAAAAATAGTATGGCTGACAGGTTGCTGAGGTGGAGGAAGGGGTGGGGTAACATAGGGGGGAGTTCTCCAGTGCATTGGGAGAAGCTCATTCCTGCTTCAACCCACATTCCTGCTCCATCTCACAAACCAGTAAGCCAGGCAGAATTGGGTTTCTTTCCCAGATTGGCACTCTCTTCAGAGAGAGTCAGGCCTTAAAAAAAATAGGCCTAGCACTGTTTCAAAAAAGGAATTAAACATGTATTTTAAAACAAGGTCTAGTGGTCTTTCAGAAGAGCTTTAGACTCATTCGCATAAAGAGTCTGTATAATGCCTGAATGGCACTTTGCTGGATAGACAGATAAATACCTATGTGGAAACCAGGCATTACACAGCCCAAGTCAAAATGGCCATGGAGGCAGTGTCCAGTGACCAGAGGCAAAGGGACATGTCCACAACAGTCTAAAATAGGCAACAGGAACTGGACAGATCCTGACCACATGGTCATTGATATTGTTAAAAAGGCATTGTGGATAGTTCTTGTGGCAAGGCCTTGTGTTGGGGAAGTGGGAAAACACTAACAACAATTGATATTGTTAAAAAGGCATTGTGGATAGTTCTTGTGGCAAGGCCTTGTGTTGGGGAAGTGGGAAAACACTAACAACAGACATGTCCACAACAGTCTAAAATAGGCAACAGGAACTGGACAGATCCTGACCACATGGTCATTGATATTGTTAAAAAGGCATTGTGGATAGTTCTTGTGGCAAGGCCTTGTGTTGGGGAAGTGGGAAAACACTAACAACAGCACAGCTGAAGACAAATCTAAGCTGCCTCCGTGGTGGGCTGAGGATGAGATAAAGGTGAGATCATAAGGATGTGGTCTCTAAAAATGGTAAACAAGATACCTTTGTGCCCTGGTTAGTGAAACATGAAGAGGAACTATTGGAATCCATGAAGTCTGTAAACCTATTATTTTCTGAAATGAAAGTAACACATTCAGGAATTTCTGCCTTCAAGTCAGAAATAGGCAACCTTTCAGTGGCCAAGTACTGAACTTTGGGGTGGGGGGAAGAGGATTGGCAAGAATGAATTGGGAGAATGGGTGTGTGTGTCTAAATCTGCCTAATTTAGACTTACACTGTAGTCTCCCTCTGTGACCTACTTTAAGATGACAGAAAATTCTCCTGTCAGATTTCAGCAGTTATGGCCAAAAGGGGCTCCAAGGGCCACAAAAGGGGACTTAAGTGGGTCTAGGTGGGCCACCCCTGCATAAAGTGAGCCATGGGCTAGTAAAGAGGCTATTGTGATTACAGTGAAAGGGTGGCGTTGTCAGCACTGCAAAGCTATTCCAGTGAAGTGCCCTTTACAGAAAAGACTGCCATAATGGGAGAAGGGTATCTGTGCCACAGGTGAGACCGTCTGATATCGTTTCCCTTCCTGACTGTAATGTCCTCAATCACATTTTTTCTCCTGCTTCAGGACTGTGTGTTGGGCACAGCGCGTTGTCTGCTATACCAGTGCCCCCTCTACAGTTTTGACCGCTCGGCTGTGCTCACCATCTGGGCCCGTCTCTGGAACAGCACCTTCCTGGAGGTTAGTATGACTCCCCCTGCCGGAGATTAGAAGAACAGAATCATATGTAAACAGACCCAAAGGCCGCTTCCTTACAGCCAGTTAACATTCATTCCTCCTGTTCTTGAGTTAGAGAAAAGTATGTTAACATGTTTTGGGTGTCCCGTGACCAAGCTTTATTGAGCCGCAGCACAAGGCTAGGGCGCAATGCTGTCCTTGTTGACTTAATGCTGGATAATTTCAAATGGTGATGGATTTATTTCCTAGCTTCTTTTCCTCTCCCACCCAATATCAAGAGAAAAAGAATCACCAATCACTCCCTACAATACCTTTATGGGAGCTGCTATAGCTTTGCTAACATGATGGCTTGCAGTCCTGAGCCCCAGGGTTTTGAAACTCCACATCATATAGCAAGTGATGCACGAGAAGCAACTGCAGTTTGCATTCTTTGTGATGTTATAACTAAGAGTCTGTGCTGTTCTGCAGAGAGCACTTGGATGGCTCTTGGCTATGCTGAACCCGGTTTCCTTTTGCTCCTAGGAATTTGCTCATATGACATCAGTGGAAGTGATTGTTCGTGCCAACATCTCAGTGAGCTCCACCATCCGCAACCTGGTCCTAAAAGATGCCACAACACAGGTCTTGCAGCCTCACCACAACTCATTTCCCTTTATGTGTTCCTTGTACAGTATAAA